ATTGTGTACCTGTGACATCCATAATCCGTCGGACGACAACATCTGATAATTCCAACGACAAATTTGACCGAATGGTTGCAGTTGCTGGACAGGAAATTTCTTCGGCAGTATCGTGATATTTTCGTACCGAAAGGAGGAAAGTCGGGAAGAACTACCGTTGTTAAGCATAAAATTGATACTGGTAATGCTAAGCCAATTCGTCAAACAGCTCGACGATTACCACAGGCGAAAAGAGAGGAAGCTGAAACAATTGTTCAGGAAATGAAGAAAGACCTGCTAATAGAACATTCTACGAGCCCATGAGTCTCTCCGGTGGTCTTGGTTAAGAAGAAAGACGGAACAACGAGGTTCTGTGTGGATTGCCGTTTGCTGAACAACGTTACCAAGAAAGATGGTTATCCTCTGCCTCGGATCGATGACACGTTGGACACATTGGCTGGAAGTAAATTGTTTTCTACTTTGGATTTGAAGTCTGGATACTGGCAGGTAGAAATGGACCCAGTAGATAAAGAAAAGACAGCCTTCACCACAGGATCTGGATTGTGGCAATTCAACGTTATGCCATTTAGACTTTGTAATGCTCCTGCGACATTTGAGAGGCTTATGGAAAATGTGTTGAGAGGGTTATCTTGGAAAACATGCCTGGTTTATCTAGATGACATAATCGTCTTAGGGGACACATTTGAAGACCATCTGAAGAATTTAGAAAACGTTTTTAATCGACTTAAAGCTGCCCAATTGATGTTGGACCCCAAGAAGTGCCAGCTATTTCAAGGTAAAGTCAATAACCTGGGTTATATAGTCAGTACAGAAGGAGTGGCCGTGTATAAGGGAAAAATCGATTCCATTAAGGAATGGCCAAAACCAACTGACAAACACCAAGTGAGAAGTTTTCTGGGACTATGTACTTATTACCGGAGGTTTATTAAGAATTCACAAGGAATCTACGTTCCTGTAGTTGGCTATATACCATGTATTAAAAATTTAATTAAAAATCCTTTGTAATAGGTATATATTTAAGGCCCAAACGGGCTAAGTTAAAAAGACAAAACGTTGTCGGAAACCATGTTCCATCATCAGTGTCTAGGAGTACATGAATGTAGCCACCAAGATTAAATATATGGGTAAAAACCCGTTAACAGATGTTTAGTTACATTTAGTTTTAAAACTATGTTATAATAATTTAAGATTATAGAGTTACCGATGGATTAGGTAACATGGCGACATATGACTCCACGTTGAAGTTGCTAGTCCTGAGACGGTATGTCTTCGAGGACTGTATGAGTGCAATTGAGAAAATGGTTCTTTACATGAGGCACAAATCATATCAATCGTAAAGGTACAAAACTCTAAATCCTATATCAAAATCACCCTCAATACCCATGACCCCCCACCCCGACAAAATTTCTGGGGATCAGCCACTGAAAGGTGCAAAAATCTAAATCCTATATCAAACTCACCCTGAAGACCCATGACCCCCGACAAAAATTTCCGGATACGCCACTGAATAAGAAGGGACACAAAATACAAAAATAACAAATGTTATTAATGTTATCTGATCTGGTACACCCTGTATAGGCAGAAAGAATTTTTATTTGTAGGTACTGACCTACATATTGCGTCCACAGAAATTTTATCATCATTAGCTATTTGCCCAGGATGCGCCTTTCCCCTTTGAACATAGCACAATCTGTGCAGTTCTCTATTTTTCTTGAACTTCACTTTACTCTCACTTCAAAATAAAATATTTAAATAGAGGGTGAGTCATGAGGAACTTTACATACTTCTACCATATGTAGAGTCCCTCAGGGAACATATCATGTGGCCACTAAAAAATGTCAACTCCTCTTCTTTATTAATTAACAGGGTGATTTGTGTAATTGACCATTTATTTCATTTTACTGTAGTGTTTATACGGCTCATTTGATTTTTTTAATTTTTGCATGATACAGTACACTACTATCAAGCATTCGACTGGTATTAGCTAAACTAAAAAATTCCAGGACTGGCTTTGGAAAAATTAATTTAGGGATTCGTATCAAATATTACACCCTGTATATATTTTGAAATGCAATAAGTGATTTTCAAACTACATAAATAGCCAATGAAAACGACATATGCGACAATGTTGTCGCACTTTTATTAAATTTTTAGTGAACGATCAAATCTTACAAAAAATAGAACAACCATAATGAAGTATCAAATTATAAGGTATTAATTTAAACAAATGTTATAAATTTCAAAGATTTTAATTAAAATGAGTTCCTACAACATAATCTAATACGTAGAAAATTAACATCTTTACTGTCACTTTGTATTATCTCGACGATAGAATCAATTGTTTTTCAATTTTAAATTTTTACTCATAGATCGTATTGGGGCATTATTTTCGATAAATAATAAATTAAATTGATTAAAAAGTCAAACCTCTTGTATGTGTTAGTTTTTGTTGATTGTAAATGATTAACATTTTATGTCAAATAATAATACATTGCATCAACTGTACTAAATAAAAATAAATCTAAAAAAGTTTAAAATGAAGGTTGGCGTTGACCGTTTGACGTTTCTTGATATTTTATACCCATTATCATTATTGTCATTATCAATTGTTATTTATGTGTACAAGAATACATATTTCTTCTGTCATATCTACGTTAAGTACAGTGTGTTAGTTTTGGTAGAGCTTTTGTTACTTTCGTTCAAAATGCCTCATCAGTTTTCGACCACAGAATATGCAGACATAATATTTGTTTATGGATTCTGTAATGGGAATGGTAGGGCTGCTAGTAGAGAATATCGCAGGAGATTTTCTAATCGTCGAACTCCCAGTCATCCAACATTTGGGTCAGTTTTTAATTATTTGCGAGAAAATGGCACTTTTCCTAGTGGAACAACAGAGCGACATGTAGATGAAGCGCAGGAAGATGACATTATGGACGCCGTTACTATGAACCCTACAATAAGCACTAGACAAGTAAGTCGAGAACTCAATGTTACTCAATCAAAAGTAAGTAGAGTCTTACAAAAAAATAATCTATACCCATATCACATTCAAATGGTTCAGCGACTACATGCTGGAGATGAGATCGATAGGATGGAATTTTGTAGATGGATTAACAATAAATCGACCACCACTATACAGGACACTATTTACAGATAAAGCCCAATTTACCAGAGACGGGATAAATAATTCACGAAATTCACATGTATGGGCAGAAGAAAATCCCCATGCTATTCGAGAACGTCGTTCTCAGTTAAGGTTTTCGGTTAACGTGTGGATTGGTGTCATAAATAACCAATTAGTAGGTCCTCACTTTTTTGATGGTCCTTTAACAGGGTAGGTCTATTTGAACTTTCTACAAAATATTTTGCCGAATTTGCTTGCCAACGCGAACGTTACTATCCGAGGGATGTATTTTCAGCATGATGGGGCACCCCCACACTTTTTACTGGCAGTGAGACAACATCTCAATAATGTTTATGGCAACAGGTGGATAGGACGTGCAGGTCCTATTTCGTGTCCTTCAAGATCCCCTGATTTCAATCCCGTTGATTACCATATTTGGGGACGATTGAAGCAACTAGTTTACGCAGTGAATATTAATAACCGACAACAATTAATTGATAGAATTATACATTGTTGTAATACTATTAGAAACGATCCCCAGAGTATCCGTAATTCAATACGTCAATTAACAATTCGGCAACAAAAATGTGTACAGGCTGCAGGGTTCCATTTCGAAAATCTATTTTGAATTATTTTTATTTTGTTACCATTATGTATCTTTTCCAGTTCTAATTTATGGGTTTATCATAACTATGTACATATTTTTAGTTTTTTTTTTAAATTGTTCTTCGTTATTGTTAGTAGTTACTGTTTTTTGTTGTGCAGTGACTCAGTTTATCATTTCAATTAAAATGTTTGAAATTTATAACATTTGTTTAAATTAATTACCTTACAATTTGATACTTCATTATGGTTGTTCTATTTTTGGTAAGATTTGATCGTTCACTAAAAATTTAATAAAAGTGCGACAACATTGTCGCATATGTCGTTTTCATTGGCTATTTATGTAGTTTGAAAATCACTTATTGCATTTTAAAAAAAATATATACAGGGTGTAATATTTAATACGAATCCCTAAATTAATTTTTCCAAAGCCAGTCCTGGAATTTTTTAGTTTAGCTAATACCAGTCGAATGCTTGATAGTAGTGTACTGTATCATGCAAAAATTAAAAAATCAAATGAGCCGTATAAACACTACAGTAAAATAAAATAAATGGTCAATTACACATATCACCCTGTTAATTAATAAAGAAGAGGAGTTGACAGTTTTTAGTGGCCACATGATATGCTCCCTGAGGGACTCTACATATGGTAGAAGTATGTAAAGTTCCTCATGACTCACCCTGTATATTTAACTGTGTACAATGTACATAAATCGCTATTCATACATTGTAATGTTATCAAAGAAAAATAAGATTGTTTTGGTTTTCTTACTATTAGGTTAAATAGTTTATATAAGAGCAATATTCAGCAATAAAACTATTTTTAATCTATTGTTTTGCAAATTTGACCTTTTACACGACCACTCTGTATGAGCAATAACACATTGTTTTCACGTACGTAAGTGCTACGCGATACGGCTAGTAGTTATGCAACTGTTTGAAGTGAGATGGAGAATCCAGAGGTGGGCGAGAATGAATACATAACAGACTAATAGGGGCCAATCACAGACGGCTTGGGACTTACCTCTTTTGTCATCAATGGGCTACGGACGAGTCCATGTTTTTTATAGAAGCAGGGGAAGCTATCATTTATTTGTGAAGAAATATTATATTTGAACAAATACATAGTAAATTGGTTCATAATTCGAAAGTAATATTTGTCAGAATACATTTGACGTTGTTCTTCCTTCAAATAAGTAATTAGAAATTGTTAAATGGGTACACGCATGTTACCGTCTCTCCTCAATAGTATTAATTGACCGGTCCGTAGTGTAGTTTCAGCTGACTTCGTGTAGTGAGTTCTGAGTAAGAGTAGTAGTACGGCCGGTTCTAAGGTAGGCGGTTCGTTGTGTGGTAGTATGCCAACCGGTTGGAAAAAAATCTGTTTTTCAATCTTTAGTTGTTAATAGAATGAAATCGTGAGTTTGTGACAAATTTTAATAAAAATTGTAAGTTATTAAACCGTCAAAGTGGCGACCAACACGGGATCTCGAACTCGCAAGGATAATATGCTCAAATTTCTTACCCATAAATTAAGAACTCATTCTATTAATGAGGATAATTACGTTGGAAAGGTTAGTATTTGCTATTTAAACATTACATAGTATCTTTTAACCTCACTGAAGGTCACTGTGTTTAAAAAAATGGCTGCTATACTGCTTCAAAAACTGAGAACAAAGGAATCTTGATTTCTCACTCCAGCTTTCAGTAACTACTACAAATTTCCATTTAAACAATTAACCAAACCTTTATTATATTATGTTTATGAAATATTCCTTTTAAATTAATGTATAGACTCAAAACTTATCATTGAAATTGAGAGGATTTGAATTTGCCGGTTGCTGTAACATTTTCTCAATGAATAATCAATGTCATGTCATTTTCTTGTCTTTTAATGAGGATTTTTTTCAACAGGCCGATGAAGACCATGATTCGGGTACAGAATCAGATGAAGAAATTGATGCCCCGGTATCAGGTAAGTAATGACATCACCCCAAAGCTTTTCTATTAATATTTATATTGACGTTTGCGTACACAGGTAGGTGTATGCCCAGCTGGACATAAATACAGGTATAATATACACTACACTAAATTCACGCACTAACAGGACATAGTTTTTATTAAATAATATAAGTAAGGTGTATTGTTCCAAAGCTGACATCCTAATTTTTTCAAATTTTAAATGAGAATAATAATTAATGAGAAAATAAAATTTGTGTGGCTTTCGGTATTACCTAAACAGGAAACCACTGTCAAATTATGAATATCAAAATAAATAAACAATGATCTCATATTATTTTGTTTTCCTTAAATTTCGGTACCTAATAAAATAAATTTTAATTTGATAGTGGTAGTAAGCCCGCCTGGACAATTCATGTAAATGAAAAACAAAGTGGATATTATAATAAAAAAAAAAAACAAAATAAAATGACAGCAATTGGGAACAGAAAACCCTCTTCTCTATGTATTGAGCATTTTCGGTGTATCTCTGTTCTTCGTCTCTGCAATCCAGTTTTTCGCAGTTTCTTTTCGGATATCAACATACCATAATGTTAAATGGTGTCATCTTTTTCAATCCATCATTTTCATTTGTTTGTTATTTTGCCCATCAGCCACAGCCTTTTTACCTTGATACCTTTTTTGCAATCCAGTTCTGTGTGTCAAGGTTTTTGGTATGGAAAATTGTTTGTTTTATAAATCATTGGCCTTTTGGCATAGAAAAGTAAAAATAGGCTATTAAATCCACTTTTTAAATAACTAAAATCGATTGACTATGTAAGCCTTACTTAGAAATTTACTACTTATTTGGGAGAATTTTTGAAAGGGGTTGTAAAGGTAATTTTTTCCACTATCCAAATTTATTTTTATAATCAAAATATTCATAATTTAATATAACACGTTGAGTGCCAAATGAGACCAACGTGGTCTCGTCCATTTCTGGAACGTAATTGCTGTATGATACCAATGTGGACTGACTGACTGACAGTTGCTATTTTTGGCCTTTATATACGAGACTGTTGTGACACCCTACAGCAATAGGACTTTTTTTGTTTTGTTTTAAAAAAAGTCCATGTACATAAAAATAAAACTTTACTCTACATGAAAACTTAAAATAAAGGGAACAAAGGCTTTGATATTTTATATTTTCGTTGCGTTATGCGCTACAAAAAAAAAACAAGATATACAGTATTTTTTTACAATTAGAGCACTTCAGTGAACTTTGTGGGTTTTTTTCTTGAGGCTTCCTTGGAACTCGATTGTTCAGAGATCTTCGCATAACAAATAACGCAACGTCTTCTATTAGCTCGGCCAACATCTTCCAGTATATATGAGGCTTCCTCGGACTCTTCATTATTTGACGTAAAATCTTCACCTTCTCGCAATAGTCCCTTTACAACTTCCTCTCTAAATTTAGTAATTGACATATTGACATTGGCTATTTCTTGATGAGCAATATAAGCATTTACAAGACACGTTCCCGTTAGGAGTTCCAACGCCATCTTTCTGTACCATTTTAAGCTTCGCCTTAAGGAAGTATTATAGGCTTTCACTTGATCGGATAGATCAATAAATATATATATATATATATATATATATATATATATATATATATAATATATATATATATATATATATATATATAATATATATATATATACATCGGTTTAGAACGTCTTTCGACGTTGTCCGATACCTAAACACCATTTCCTATCTTCGCAGTCGTTTCTTGTTAAATTTCTTTCGCTCATGGACTTGTTTACGCCGTGTTGCCATTCTAATCTGGGTCTTCCTCTTTTCCGTCGACCTAACGGTTGCCATTCTACTACTTTTTTGGGGAGTCTTGTTGCTGGCATCCGTTGAACATGCCCATACCACCTTAATTGTTTCTTCTCTATATCTTGAGTTATATTTTCTTCTATTCCCATACGTTGTTTTATTACATCATTTCTGTTTCGGTCTCGTCTGGAAATACCTAAAGATCTTCTCATTGCATCCATCTCTACTGCTTCTATTGGCTTTTTGTTCTTTTCACTAATTCTCCATGTTTCAGCGCCATAAAGAAGAGTAGTTTTAATCATGGTCTCATATATATTACATTTTCTTCCTTTCGTTATCTCTTTACTCCACAGTATACCATTGAGACATCCTAAGACTTTCTTTGCTTGAGTGATTCGTTTTTCTATTTCCCGTCTATCAGTTCCTGTATTGTCAAAGGCAACATCCAAGTAGTCATAGCTCTGAGATCAGGAAATATGTTGTCCATTGTTGATCAATACTCCATTCACTTTGATTCCCATCTTTGCATCCTCCAAAGACTCTTGAAATATGCCTTCCGAATAAATGTTAAATAAAAGAGGGGAAAGCACACATCCCTGTCGAACGCCCCTTTTCATATGTATGGGTTTGGATATAGAATTGTCTATTTTTAACTGTGCCGTTTGATGTCAGTACAAGTTTTCAATGCATCTTATGTCTTTTTGGTCTACATTAACTTTCTTGAGGATCTCCATTAACCTGTGATGTTGGACACGATCAAACGCTTTTTGGTAATCTATTTAATCTATCTTTCCAAGAGTAGGTATACAGAATCTCGAGTGGACCATACTGTTTTACAGATATTTAATTATTGCTCAGGTTTCTAGTGAATCTAATACCAGACATACATTCATGATGTATTCTTGTGTGTTCTAGACTATTTTTCATCGTAAGTCTGTGTGATCTATTTCTAAGTTTGGTAAACTTGAATTTGTTGGTTAGTCTCTTTGTAATAGTTTTTGTTAGTAGCATGCGTACCTGTCATTGTTAACTAATATTATAATTTTGTTATTCAAATTTTGTCGTATGTTAGATTCTTCATCTCCTACAACGGAGATCTCTCATACTTCATATGAATATTCTGAATCTTTCTAGACATTCTATTAGTTCATTTTTTGTATACCACTTCCCTTTATTAAAAAACAAAAATTAAAAGAGGCAAATAAAGTAATTTAAACGATTTAGTGATATAGGTAGCTTTGATATTATTATGAAAGTTAATAATGGTAGTCAAATAAAAAAAAAACAAAAAAACTACCTAGTAAAAAGCTCACAAATGATCGATAAAAATTATTTAATCGAAAAATCAAATTTTATCATACTCATACATATACGAAAAAATGCAAATAATTATTCTTTTGTATTTTGATAACCATTGTTAACTCACTTACACAACAAAATATAATTTAATTAATATTTTTTGTATATATTAGCCATTGTTCAACAATCTGATGTAGATTGACAGAGCTGAATGAGAAAGGAAAATTCGCTGTGTCATTTATCGTGGATATGTTTTAATTTTCCTATTTATAATAAAGTATAATCAATGCAGTATACTATAATATTTTTATTAATTCTAATTTATTGTTTTTATCTTAATTTACTAAAGGTTCGATATTTATAACACTCACGAATTTATCAAAGTCTTTATTACTACTAATTTATTTTACACTTAATAATTACAAATAATTTATTTACGTGCGATACAATTTTAACCAAGACCGGACTTCTTTTTGACTGACCCTCCTCCATGAGAATCACCGTTATTTATATGAAATGCCGCTATCTAGAAGGGCATCGATGACGTTCTAACCATTAGGTGACTCATTCAGCTAGACTAGAAAAGTCTAGGGCTCGGGCCGTCGACTGTTTATTGTTACCTGGACTGGTTATTCGACCCTTTTGGAGAATTCGGTAGTATTTGACCTAGAACATTCGTGAATGAGTAAATATGTTTACAGTTTTTATACGCCATAATATTTATTATCGTAACAATACTGAGTAGAGAAATATAAAGGTCGATTCAGACATATCAGTCCCGTCATAGTCTCGGCGCCGAACCGGTCCTGTTTGGTCACAGAACTATCAACTATCTGACAGCTGGGTAACTGTTTGTCAACTGATGAGTGTGAATGCCGGCAACATATTTGTATTAAAGAATATTTTGTATGACGGATTGTTCGGTTCTGCGCAATCACTGTGACGAGGCGTGACTGATGTGTCTGAATCGACCTTTAATGAGACTGTCCGAGCTGCTGAAGTTCAATGATAAACCACAACACATCTGCCAAGATGATGATAATCAATGGGATAAATTAGTGTTTGATCAGCATTTATCCATGGACAGGTTTGTGTTTTAGTCCAAGCTGCCAAGTAATTTGACAAAATTAAACTCTTACAAACAAATTAAAAAAAAAGCAATAAAAAAAGAGAACACTTTATAAAGTGTAGCAAGAAAGTACATCTTCTTCTTACGGTGCCTTATCCTTAAGGACATTGGCCATTACATTTGCCCATTTAATCTTATTTGTAGCAGCCCTGAATAGTTCTATGGAGGTCATGTTCGTCCATTGCCGTAGGCTTTTAAGCCAAGAGTTGCGTCTTCTTCCTGGTCCTCTTTTGCTATTGACGTTGCCTTCGATTATAAGTTGGAGCAGTTCATACTTTTGATTTCTTATGATGTGACCAAAATATTGTGTTTTCCGTTCTTTTATTATAAGCATAAGCTCTCTTTCCTTAATTATCCCCCGCAAGACTTCCGCATTTGTCGTATGGCTCATATAGGATATTTTGAGCATTTTACGGTAACACCAGAGTTCGAATGCTTGGATTCTTTTTTGTGTTGCTTCTGTCATTTTCCAGGCTTTAACACCGTAGAGCAAGGTGCAGAAAATATAGCACTTAAGAAAAGCAGCTTAAGAAAGTACATATGGTACAGATATTTAAAATTATATGGTTGCTAAAATGTAATCGCGAGTAGCTGTATCAGAAGCTAAATTTGAAAACGTGTATATAAAACGATGGACTGAACATTTAGTATGCACAGACTGCAAAATTTTGACTAAAATTGTCATGATTGATATTATTCTACATATTTGGTTGTTCTGCTTGTTTCCAGTTTTAAAATGTGATCAACTAGCTCCTTCCCCTCTGCTGTTG